TGAGGGGCAGCCTCACTTTATAATAACCTCTCTCTGACAATAACTAATGTAGTACCTCAAAAAAAGAATTCACTCAGTCCCACTGGAAAGTTATAAAGAATTTGTTGGGCTGGGCTTAATTAATCCTTCTTAACTACCTACCTAAGTCACCTCCTTAAAAGCCCCACCTCACAACATGACCACGGTGGTATTCAAGTTTAAATATGAGTTTTGGAGGGCACAGATCATTGCAGAATCTGCTCAATTTTTAAGTGGGCTATCTTTTTTATTATTGAATAATACGAATTAGGTGTAATTCTTATTACTCAATAATATATGACATGAACACATATATGACATACATATATTTTCTCCAGTTCTTCACATTGTCATTTTCCTTTCTTAATAGTTTCCTTTGAAGTACAGTTATTAAACTTTCATGAGATGTGGTTTATCTGTTGGCAATTATTTCAAATTAGCATTCATCATACAGATTGATCATCCCTAATCTGAAAATCCAAAACCCCAAATGCTCCAAAATCCAAAACTTATTGAATTATAGACATGATGCCACAAGTGGAAAATTCCACATCTGATCTGATGTGATGGGTCTCAGTCAAAACACAGGTGCACTAAAAATATTGCATAAAATTACCTTCAGGCAGTGTGTAGAAAGAGCATATGAAACATAAATGAATTTTGCATTTAGGGTTGGGTCCCATCCTCAAGATATCTCATTATGTATATGCAAATATTCAAAATCTGAAAAAAATCCAAAACACTTCTGGTCTCAAGCATTTTCAGGTAAAGGATACTCAATCTGTACAACAAATTCTTTTATTTTTATTTTTCAGTTGTCAATGGACCGACCTTCCTTCCTTCCTTCCTTCCTTCCTTCCTTCCTTCCTTTCTTTCTTTCTTTCTGGTGCTGAGAATTGAATCCAATGCCTCATACATGCTAGGCAAGTGCTCTACCACTGAGCTACAAGCCCAGCCCAACAAATTCTTTATAACTGACTTAGTTTTTTGCCATTTTGCAGCTTATGTACCAAAATGAAAATATCCTTGGAGAAAAATGACTAGATTATTAACTCTCTTCAAGTAATGGTTTTAAATGAGGTCCTATTGTAGACAAACATATTAAGAATGTAAAAGTCAGAATTACCCTCTCTGAGGTGAAAAGTGTACTTGGGCTTAAAAGAGATACAGCATATTAATCACATTTGTATTCATTATTGTTTCTTTCTTGGAACAGAATCATCTCTGGCTTTCTCAAAGCAAAATATTATTAATCAACGAGTACTTCTGTTTTCTGTGTTTTTCTGAGACAACTAGTAATTATCAAGACATTCTGAATTTTTAAACCTAATTTTGTAAAGAATCATCTTATTATCTGGACTACATAGAATACCCCCTACTAGACATAACATTTTTTACTTAAGGACACTGATATTTTCTTAGAGATGAGTTGTTGAGAAGAGTAGCAATAATTTAAAACTTGCAGAAATAAGTGACAAACACTGTAGTACCTTGGATCCAGTTTTTTTTCTCATACAACTAGAATTGTGAAATAGTTAAAATAATTTTTTCAGATAATTCACTGATTATATAGATACCACTTTGGGATTTTTTTCCTTTTTTTGTTTTTGTTTTAACTCATACAGGAGTGGTACTTTTTGATCTAACGGCTTTAAGGTGTGAATTAGAATTTAAAATTTATGTTGAAGAACTCTTAAAGAATTAACAGTTAAGTCATACTTAAAAGTGTAAAGAAAGTCTTAAAATTTGGAAAGGTTTTGTTGAACTTGGTAGTAACTGTGTGAACAAGCTAAATTATATCAAAATGAGAATGTCAAAATGAACCTTTCAGTTAAATAGTGTAACTGGAACTTTTGGCTATTAAACATGGTTTTTATAAATTCATGGGACAGTATTTGTATTCACTACAGTATTTAATAGCTTCTTAATGTTTTCTTCATCTCTGATAATGAATTTTAAGATATGATAACTGTCCAAAATATCTAATTCAAAAACGAAAGTAGATTCTGAAATAAATTTGATGCTTTTTAATTAAAACATATAAAGTATTGGGGCTGAGGCTGTAGTGCAGTGGGAGAGCACTTGCCTAGCATGTGCAAAGCCTTGGGTGTGATCCCCAAATTTAACAAATCAAGAAGAAAATAAATAACAAAGACAATGGCATAAATCAATAAAATGTAAAACAGAAAACAATGAACACAATCAATGAAGCTAAAAGCTATTTGTGTGTGTTTGTCTTTTGAGAAAATCAATGCCATTGATAAACCTCTATCCAGGCAGATTAAGACAAAAAAATATCAGGAGCCATCACTAGAGATTCTACAGATATTTAAAAGACTAAAAAGGGAACATTATGGATAACTTTATGCACATGAATTTGAAGTCTTAAATGAAATTGACAAATTATTTAAGTCACAAGCTACCAAAGCTCCCACACGATGCTATAGATACAGTCTTATACTTGTTAAGTTAATTAAATTGATAATCTTCCAACAAAAAGACTACAGAACAATTCTACCAAACAATTAAAGAAGATGTAATACTAATTTTTATTTGTACAAACTTCCAGAAAAAAGAGAAAGACATGAGTTGGGAATATAGCTCAGTTGTAGAGCACTTGCCTAGTATCCACAAGGCCCTGTGTTTAATCCCCAGTACTGTGCACCATATGCATACATGTGTGTGCACAGACACGCACACGTGCACACACACAGAGGGCACAACTACTATTTCATTTTTTGAAATCAAAGCTAAACAAAGACAATGTAAGAAACATCTCTCATAAAATAGATGGCAAAATATTCAACAAATTATCAGCACATTGAATTTAGTAACATGATAAGTGTAATACATCATAACCAAGTGATATTTATCCCAGGTTCAACATTGTAAACTCAATGAATTCATCAGTTTAACAGATTAAAGAAGTAAAATATAAAATCAACAGATAATGAAAAAGTATTTGACAAAATTCAATTTTTAAATTTTTTTTATGATGAAAACTCTTAGCTGACTTAGGAACCGAAGGGAAGTTCCTCAGCTTACTAAAGGCCATCTACAAAAAACAAAACCTACCTAACAATGAAGGAGTGAATACTTTCCCCCTAGTCAAGGTTGTCTACTGTTAACTTAAGTCAAGGTTGTCTACTGTTAATTTATCCTTTCAACATTATCCTAAGTGTCCCAGTCAGTGCAATAGATAAGCAATAGAATGAAGGATAGAAGAGGAAAAAAAAGAGAGAGAGACTCTATTTGTAGATAACATGATTGTTTATATAGAAAATCCCAAAGAATCTATTAAAAGGTTCCTAGAACTAATACATGAGTTTAGCAAGATTAGGACACAAGGTTAATACTCAAAAGTTAATTATATTTCTATGTACTAGCAGTGAAGTTCAAGAATAAGCAATAAAAATCAAGGGAACCTTCTGAAGCATTGGAAGTTGTTCTTTAGCATGATCTGGGTACTAATTACATGGGTTTAAATCTGTGTGATAGTTCATCGAGTTGTGTGTTGAAGATTAGAGCACTTTGTTCAGTTTATTGTATGTATACTATACTTCAAAACTTTTTTAACATTCACTCTGCCAAAGATGAATGAAAACTGTCTCTCGTAGTATGATTTATGCCATCTGACATAGATTCTTCCCATGGTGGTACCCCCAAAATACTGTTGACTGACTAAATGAAACAACTTAGAAACTCTCTTCCACTTTGCTTAACATAAAACCACTATTAGTTTATGCCACACTGAATCTTCTGTTTAATTCAGCCTTGAGAGTGAGCATGGACCTTACAAGTTCACAGGAGGAAGGGAATCATTGGATTTTAATTAGAACTTTAACAATAACAGCAGGATTTCAGGCTAGTTAGCAGCATCATGGCAGATGTTTCAGAAAATGCAGGCAGTGTTAGTGAATGCATTACAGGGTGCTAAAAGTAGTGGTGTTCATCAACAGATGAATGGATAAAGAAAATGTAGTATATATACACAGTGGAGTTTTACTCAGCCTTAAAAAAGAATAAATTTATGTCATTTGCAGGTAAATAGATGGATTGGAGAACATCATGCTAAGTGAAATAAGACAGACTCAGAAAGTCAAGGGTTGAAAGTTCTTTCATGTGTGGAAGATATATAAGGGGGGGTCAGATATTTAAAAAGGAGGGGAAATCTCACAAAATAGAAGGAAGATCCATAGAGTAGAGGAGGAAAGGGATTGAGAGGGAGGAAAGAGGGGGAGGGTATAGGGAAGTATTGGCAAATGAAATTACCAGATTTTGCTGTCTATGTATATACCACAGTGAATTATATATATATATATATATATATATATATATATATATATATATATATATATCACAGTGAATTATATATATATATATACACACACACACATAAACACACACATATTCAAACATATACATAAACATATATGCACCAATTAAAGTATCAATAAAAGAAGGGAGATCAGTAGTGTAGAACAAGCGGAAGCAGGAGGGAGGAGAATGGGAGGGAAAGGGAAGGTACAATGAGGAATGAGATGATCAAATTATGTGCATGTATGAATATGGCATAATGAATTTCATTATTTTGTATAATTATGATTCACCAATAAAAAGGTTTTTTTTCAGTCCATCCATGGCTGAGTGTAGTGGTGTGTGCCTGTAATCCCAGCTACTTGGGAGACTGAGGCAGGAGGATCACAAGTTCAATGCCAGCCTGGGCAACTTAGACCCTGTCTCAAAACAAAATAGTAAAAAGGGCCATGGATGTAGTTCAGTGGTAGAGCATCCCTGGGTTCAGTCCCCAGTACCATAAAGAAAAAAATTAAAAATTTGTCTACAGTACCTGAGATAACTTTCAAATTGTAAGCAAAATTAATTTTCCTGAATGGGAAAACCTACCCATTTAGAAAGATTAGAATAGGAGAGGATAATGAAATGGAATCACAGAGAATGTTGCTTTTTTGCCTCTTTCTTAGGGGACTTCTCACAAGATCCATGTGAAACATTGCTTCTGTTATATGAGTTTGAAGTTAAAGCCAAAATGAAAGATCCATCACTGGACAGCTTCCTGGAATCAGTGTGGGAACTGCCTCATTTAGAAAGTAAAACATTTGAAACAATCGCATGTAAGTGCTATATTTATTCTTTTGTAAGCCTAGTGCCCATTTAGATCTTACTATTTTCTTTTCTCTCTTTACTCATCTTTCTTACCTCCAGGTGGGAAACATTTTTTCTCCCTCTCTAATGGCATTCTTAAACTATTTTATATTACAATCATTCGTAAATTTATCTCCTTAGGTTCATGAAAGATAATTATGTATATTTATTGCACTTATAAACCCCTAGGAAACTGCATTGCTCATGATAGGTGCTCAAATTTATTCTATGTGTGGAATTTAATTATGTAACTACACAATAAGGAAGCTCAAACTTCAGAAACTCACTTTATACAGCTAGCTTGAAATGATAATTGACTGCTTCACTGATTGAAGGTGACACAATCATAACTGTTTATTGAAATGTCAGAGAAATATTGGAAAATTTTTAACACAACTGCCACACTCACATTTGTAGTTGAAATACAGGTGGGATTTAGGGACTCGGGGGCTTTTGGAGAGTGGATTGCACGGAATGGCCTAATTTTCTTCCCTTTGTATCAGGGACTTGAGTGTAGGTTACCTCTAACACTATTAGGTACACTGAAGTACACAACGGTCACATTTACCTTTCCTTGGTCTTGCCAAGACAGAATTCCTAGAGCCATGGAACAAATGATATACATTTTATGAACATGTGATGATGACCCTGTATAATGGAACTCCAATTCTAGAGGCATCTGGAAAATGCATCTGGAAGTTTTAGAATTAATCACCTCTGATAGTCACTCTAGTTTCCTATTTTTAGTACCTGGCAAGAAGCAGTATATAAAAATATTAAATCTGTTTTTGATTAGGGTTCTTTTACTGATCTGCTTTCTGTTTCTTTCTTGGTGTGCCTTTCTTTGACTGTGGTTCATAAAATTGTTGCTTCACCTGTATGACTGTATGCAGGGCCATAGAAACAATAGGTTTTCTGTTGATGTTTGTTGAAGAAAGGATGGAACCTGACAATTCTACCATGCTACTCTGCCTAGAAAGAAGAAGCTACCTCTAAAAGCATCTGTGGATTCATCATTTTATAAAATTCATCTTCATTGTGTGTGTGTGTGTGTGTGTGTGTGTGTGTGTGGTTAATCTGCTTCAGGCTAGTTTCATTAGAGAAAGCAAGTTGTAGCCTGGGGTGAAAACTGTGATGGATAAGATTATGGTGTTCTCAACCTTTTTTCTTCCCTCCCTATAGTATTAGCCTTGGAAACGCCTGCATACTATCCTTCTATCGCTCTCAAGGCCTTGAAAAAGGCTTTATTGCTCCACAAAAAGAAAGAATCAATTGATGTTTTAAAATACAGGTTAGTGAATGTAATTCAACACCCAATCCAGGATTTTTAATAGCCTAAAGAACTATAGTGGATGCCCCATAAATAATCAATTATAATCAACTGGTTCAACTTAAAAGATGATGGGGGAAGGGGTCCCTCCTATGAATAGCTCCATACTGAGGGCTGTATTACAGACCAAGAATTGTTTAGGTCAAAGAGTCGGATTTTCTCTAAGGAGAGCAAGAGGGAAAAAAGTAATTTACTTGACTATATGTATATAATAAAACTACTAAGTACCTTTCTTTCTTTTTTTAGAGGAGTATACTGGGAATCGAACCCAGGGACACTTGAAAGATGAGTCACATATCCCCAGCCCTTTTTTATATTTTATTTTATTTTATTTATTAGGGTCTCACTGAGTTGCTTAGAGTCTTGCTAAATTGTTGAGGCTGGTTTTGAACTCTCGATCGTCCTACCTCAGCCTCCCAAGTTGCTGGGATTGCAGGCATGCACCACCATACCTGCCACCTTCTTTCCTTTATATTGAATATCTAGTAATGAAACAAACAGAAAGGTAGAGTTGAGAATATAGCTCAATGGCAGTGTACTTGCCTACCATGTTTAAGACCCTGAGTTTGATCCCCAGGACCACAAAAACAAACCAACCAATGGTACAGAAAAATACTTGCCTCAGAAAAATATTTGCCTCAGATTTTTTTCTAAGTACTTTTTAAGCACCAGTAAGTGTTATATGAAATATTATTTATTGGAGAGTTTTTTGTTTTCTGTGTCTAGACATGAGGAAAAATAGACGTGTGTGATTTTTTTTTCCTCTGGAAAACTTCATTACAATCTTTCTGTTCTAAGACATAAGAGACCGTTTTCTTGGAATTATTTCCCAATTTAAATCCCAATTCCCTTGCCCATTTGAGGAAGTAACAAGATGCTTTTAAATGCCTATAAATTGAACCAGCTCATGAAATATAATAAACCGCTACTCCTTTGTGCTAGAAACTAAAAAAGAGTGAAAGACAGCCATAGGTGTGATAAAAGAAAAGATTGGTCAACCCCTTTTACAGCTTCAAAAATCTGTCTTCTGAGGTTGGAGGCCAGATAAAACCAAGGGAAGAACAGAAGTGTTTTGAAGCTTTTAGTCTGGGATGAGATCCAGATTTTACTTATCTTAGCCATTGAAGCCAATGATTTCTTTCCTTATGGGATGAGTTTTCTCTTTTTGATTTTCAGCAAATGTATGCACATCTTGATTAACCTTTCAGTGCCAGATGGGACATCAAGTGCAGAGCTCTGTCCCATGGAAGAAGTTTGGGGATATTTTGAAGATGTTCTGAGCCTTATTAGCCACACTGTAAGTCAAACTTCCAACTAATATTAAACTTTGAGCTAATTTTAAAGAACTGAACTATCTTGTATATTAGAAACAATATAGAATCATGCTTTTGATATGAGTTTAGGGCAGATTTACATTGTAATATGGTTATGAACTACAAAATTTCTCTGGGATTTTGAAATATAAGTAGTTAAAAGCACAAATTTGCTAATACAAGCGTATTATGAATTAAGTCAAAATATCAGCACCATTGGCTATCTTGAACTACTTTGTATTTTCAAAGCCTGGTAGAATTGTTACTTCCCCTGTGATGATGGTGACTTTGTGAAAATATTATTCTCACCATTTCTCAGAGGCAGGTGATTAAGTAGAAGAAATAAGAAATACCTGTATTTTTTAGTCCCTCTCTGCTGATTTCTTTTACTTTTTCAGTGCAGGTTTCTTTAGTGCTTTTTTAAAACTAGCTTTACTGAGTATAATATACATTTCATAAAATTCACCCATTGAATATGTGCAAGTCAGTATATTTTAGAGTTGCACAACTATCATCACAATTCAGCTTTAGAACATTTCTATTACCCCCCCCCCCCAAAGTTTCTTGCCCACTTGCAGTCCCTGCTTCTACCTGCAACCCAGACAACCACAGAACTGTTTTCTATCTCTCTAGATTTTTCTGGATGTTTCACATGAATAGAATCATACAATATGTGGCCTCTTGTGTCTGACTTCTTTCACTTAGTATTATATTTTTGAGGTTCAACTATGTTGCAGCATTATCAGTATTTCATTCCTTTTTCTTTGGTTGAATGATATTCTGTTGAATGGTTATACTACATGTTGTCTATCCATTTATTCATTGATAGACATTGAAGTTGTTCCCAATTTTTGGCTATTATGAATGCTTCTGCTATTAATTCATATACAAGTCTTTGTGTAGCATATGATTTCAATTATCTTTGCTATATACCTAGAAGTAAAATTTCTGGGGTCACTGTTTAACTTCTCAAGGAGCTGTAATCAGTTTCCCAAAGTGGTGGCACCATTTTACATTCCCACTAGCAGCAAATGAATGTTATAATTTCCTTACATCTTCACCAGCATTGTTATTTCCCCTCTTTTATTATTATAGCCATCCTAGTGGGTGTGGAGTGGTAGTTCATTGTGGTTTGACTTATAGTTTTTTGTTGGCTAATGATGTTGGTCATATTTTTCGTGTACTTATTGATCTTTTTTTTCCTTTGGAAAAATGTCTAATTATTTTCCTGCTTTTAAAACAAGGTCATCTTTTAATTTATTGAATTGCAAGAGTTCTTAACATAGACTAGATACAAGTCCTTTATAAGATATATGATTTGTAAATATTTTCTCTCAATCTCTTCATTTTGTTAATGGTATCATTTGCAAAGCAAAAGTTTTGAATTTTAATGAAGTCTAACTTATCTATTTTTCCCTCTTATAGATAGTGGTTTTGGTCACGCTAAGAAATCCTTGCCTAACCCAAGTTTGTGAATATTTTCTCTTATGTGTTGTTGTATTTATATTTTTATCCTTTAAGTATAGCTCTATGATACATTTTGAGTTAATTTTTGTTTATGGTGTGAGGTAAGGGTCTAACCGGGGTTTTGTTTGGTTTTGCATAATGGATATATTCCTCTCTTGTTGGACTTGAGTTTTCTCACTTGTAAAATGGAAATAGTACCTACTCTCACTGTCCCACACTAGAGTTGTAAGGATCAATGGAAATACTATATGTGTTGTAAACTTTCATTTGACATGTAAGGTGGTACTGTTATTATAAGGGAGCTATAAAACATTAAAAGAAGGTTAGATTAAAGTCAGAAAGTCATTATTTGTATCCATGTTAATATCTAAGGATATTGAGTGCTTTGGGCTCAACTGTTCTTCATATACAAGTAAATACCTGAAAATCACAACAGATGGTGGAATAGTATATAGCATGTTGAAAACCTGGTACAAATTCGCACTGACTAAAGAAGACTAAAATTTTCCTGGAGCTGTGTAATTATGGTCTTGTGAATTTAAATTTTTTTTTAAACTTCACTATTGAAACTTTTTAAAAAATTTTACTATCTTTTGGGACAAAGAGAAAATTCCATTGCTAAGCCATGAACTTCATTTGGACCTTCTAGTGTGTTTGCCATAGTAACGAATAAAAATTAAAATTAGATTGTACTTTAACTCCACATTGATTAATTTCCATAGTCTCTATGTGAGGCCAAAAATTCTCTAAGCATTTTGGTTTTGCCACTTTTATTCAGTCTTATTACAGATGCAAGTTCTCTGACTCAGGTTGGCTAAGCTTATTACTGTTTTCTATTTTTCTGATGAGTTTCCCATCTATTATTGTTCATGCCTTGAAACATGACTGGATAGTTAGCTTTTTAATAGAGATTAATTTAATAACCTTCTTGGCTCTTTACCTTGTGCATGTTGCTTTCTCCTGTATGATTGAATGTGCTATGCATCTCCTTTGTTTTAAATGCTGCAGAGAAAATTCTGCTTTTGTTTAGTTGACTTTTTAAATGACTAGTCATGCATTCATAATTTATTGAGCAGATAACCTTTATCAAGTGCCTCCATACACTGGTAGAATGCCTATTACATAAACATAAATCCTCCCATCTCACAGCGTCATGCATTACAGTTTATAAAGCACTCTTACATCCATTATCTCATATAACCCCCCACAGCAATTCTATAAAGTAGATAGTGCTGCTATTATCCTTAATTTACAAATGAGGAAAATTTTAAGATTCATAAAAGTCAGGTTATCATTTGGCTAAGGTCATTTATGACTGATGAATAAGAGTTAGGAATAGAACCCAGGTCTTCTGACCTCATATCTTAGATGGAGGCACTCTAACAAAATACCATAGACTGGATGACATATAAACAACAGAAATTTACTATCCCAATTCTGGAGGCTAGAAAGTCCAAGCTGGAGGCTAGAAAGTCCACTGATTTGGTCTCCAGTAAGAGCCTGCTTCCTCATAGATGGGCCAACTTCTCATTATAACCTCATCTTGCAGAAAGGGTAAGGGACCTCTCTGGGTTCTAATTTATAAGGGCACTAATCCTAATGAATGATCACTGCACCCTTCACTACCTTATCACCTTTCATTGGCCCAACCTACTAATACCATTACCTTGAAGTAGAATTTTAACATATGAATGGAGGGACATAAATATCCAGCCCATTGTTCCTCAATTATAGGGCTCTTTCCAATAGAACACACACCTTTACCAGTTCTTGCTAGGAAATTTTATTTCAAAGGAGAGGCTCAGATTGATATTGAGAAGCTACTGCCAATGAAAAAGCCTGGGGCGGGTCACACACATTTAAGCATGCAGTCCTACGTACTGTACTCTTCAGTAGGTTCATATTCTAGATTATTTTTAAAAGGTAGTAGGTTGTTCAGCTTTTTAAAATTAAATTGTTATTCTGAAATAATTATAGATTCACATGCACTTATAAGAAATAACAGAGGTTCTGTGCACTCTTTTTTATGCCTTTATTTATTTTCATGTGGTGCTGAGGATCAAATCCAGTGCCTCACCCATGCTAGGCAAGTGCTCTACCACTGACTTACAATTGCAGTCCCAGATTCTGTGTACTCTTTACGCAGCTTCCCCCAATGGTAGCATCTTGGCCCCATGCATGCCAGGCGAGCACCAATGGTAGCATCTTAACAAAACTCTGTTGTACAATATCACAACAAGGATGGTGGCATTGTTATAGTCAAGACACAGAACATTTTCATCACCACAGTGATTCTTCATGTTGCCTTGCTATAGCCGCTCCCTACTCAAAGCCTTTCCTTAAATCCTGGCAACCACTAATCTGTTACCAGTTTCCATAATCATGTCATTTCTTGAATGTTATATAAATAGAATCATAAAGTATATCTTGAGATTTGGAATAGTACAATACAAAACCTTTTGAGATTGGCTTTTTCCACTTAGCATAATTCTCTAAAAGATTCATCAAGTTGATACGTGTCACAAAAGGACAAATACTGTATGATTCCACTTATGTGAAGTACCAAGTGGTTAAACTCATGGAGATGGAAAAATAGAGTGGTGGTTGCTAGGGACTGAAAAGGGGTATTTTTTAATAAGTACAGAGTTACATTTTGCAAGATTCCAGTTCTGTGGATGGATGGATGGATGGATGGATGGATGTTGGTTGGTGATAGTCGCATAACAGCATGATTATGAACTATATACTTAAAAATGACTTAAGCCAGGCACAGTACTGCATGCTTGTAATCCCAGCAGCTTGGGAGGCTCAGTCAGAAGGATCATGTGTTCAAAGCCAGGCTTAGCAACTTAGCAAGGTCCTAAGCAACTCAGCAAGACCCTGTCTCTAAATAAAATATAAAACAGGGCTGGGATATGGCTCAGTGGTTAAGCACCACTGGGACCACTGGGTTCAATCCCTGGTACCCCCCCTCCCAAAAAATATTTAAGCTGGGTGTGATGGTACACACCTATAATCACAACAAATTCAGGAGGCTGAGACAGAAGGATTGCAAGTTCAAAGCCAGCCTCAGCAACTTAGCAAGGCCCTAAGCAACTCAGCGAGACCCTATCTCAAAAATAAAAGAGTTGGAGATGTAGCTCAGTGGTAGAGTACCCTTGGGTTCAATTTCTAGTACCAAAAAAAAAATAGTTTAAGGTGGTAAACATTATGTTATGCGTATTTTACCATTTATAAAAGTGATGGGAAAAAATCTTTGTCAGATACTGTAACATTTCTTTCTTCTCATTTTAGTATTAATTGTTTGTCTTTTTAATTTAATTTGAGATCTTGCCACTTCTTAGTGTAATGAGTAATTTTTATTGAGACATAGACATTTTCTTGTTATGTTATGAGACCCTGGATCTCATTTAAATCTTCTCTTTCATCTAAATCTTACTTCCTCCAAGCCTCACATCTCCCTGAGGCCGGAATTGAGGCTCATGCAAAGGCATCTTTGATTCAGACTTTGATATTG